CTGCGCTCAGAATAGCGCTCAAACGGCGCTCTGGCGCCGACCTTACCGCACCGCGTAGAGTGCCGGTGGGTCGATGCCTCGAAGTGAGGCCGGACCAGTACTAAGTACTGGTTCGAAGAGGACCGGCCTCACTGCTGCGAGGCCTTGGTTGGGGCTGAACCGTCCAGATCGACGATTCAGGTCCAACCGGAGAGTGGCAGCCTCAAATGGCGCCGTCAGGCCCAAAGACGAAATGTCATTTGGGCCTTTGGGCCTGGTCCGTAGTCGGGTCCAAGTTGTGGCCTTTCGGCCTGTTATTCCCCAAGGTCGGGCCTTTAGGCCCTGATGTGTCCCTCTAGCCCTAAGTCGGGTCCGGTAGGACCCGTGTGGCGTCGAAGATGTAACAGGGGCACTGTGGGACAGTGTGAAGGGGAAGTCATAGAAGATGGTATTATGATACTATTATCTGATGTACAGTAAAGGAGTTGGAGGAGATGAAGAAAGAGGAGCAAGGACATGAGGAGGAGGAGGAGGAAGATGATGATGATGAGGAGGAGGAGAGCATGGGAGAGAGCAAAGGACAGCAGGCAGATGAATGATTTGTCGGACTGTGGACGAGATTACTCATGTAGACTCCTAAGAGCGTAGCGTACTGCACATATAACTGTCGCTAATTTTGAATAGCTTGCAGTCTGTGCACATCGGACACGGACACATGTCATCAACACCTGATACATTCAGTGAACTGCGTGCTCCTAAATGCACAATAACCCATGCTGGAACTCGTGGAGCAAATCTTGCGCAACGATCACAGTGCAATCCAATTTGGCACCTTCTCCTCTGCATATGAACTGGTTGCATTCTACTCTTGAACACAACTACAGCCACCGAGCGCTAGCCCCAGCCACTGCTAACATCGGTCCATGGGGGATAGGCAATGAAAAGCAAAAGGTAGGGAGCGATTCCTCAAGAAGAGAATGATGGCAAGTGGTAAGAAAAGCATCAGCAACAGCAGAAGGCCAAGCATGATGTCTCGTTAAGAGGGAAAAAATGAAGTCACAGGTTTGTGAACTTTGTGTCCTTGCCATCACATTATGCGTTGAACCTTTTGATTGCTCTAAGGTCCGAATCCATCAGATAGGTCACTATGCACTACTGATCTGCTCGGAAGAAAAGCATACACCCACGGTCTTGTGACATTCAGCGAGCATCATCTAGTCTTACTAACCTCACATTGTCATAACAACGCTGGCCAGCCCGACTCCAAAGGGCCATCTTTCTTTTTCTTTTCTCTCTTTTTTTGAGAACTGTGAGGAGAGTAACAACAAACAAAAAAAAAAAAAAAAAAAAAAAAAAAAACAGTGAGCAGGGCATGGTTAAGTTGGGGTTAACCGTTCAAGTTGATGTCCCAACCTGTGACAGTTAAGTTCCACGGCTACCTTATTTCATGCATTTAAATTTTAAAATTTAAATGCATTACATAACATGTGATGCTGTGTATACCCGGAAAGCGAAAGAAAGCACAAGATTCCAGAAAACCAAGAAGTATATGGAAATTGCGAGTTGTCCGAGAGTTCCAGAGAGCAAAAATGATCTGACGCTGGGCCCGATTCCCAGCACGTGTTGCTCCCCACGAATAGATCGGAGCTTTCAAGTTTTAACCAAAAAAATAAAATAAAAATGCCATGACTACCACCAAAGGGTACTACCATCTTCTCCAAACAGAAGGCATTTTGTCTTTTTTGTCCCCCGAAGGCAATCTCTTTTTATTAACAACAAGACTGGAAATCAGGTGCAGTGTCCCAACGCTGCCCTTCATTATGGAAAAGGGGGGAAGACAGGGGTGGGGGGGGGGGGGGGGGGGGGGGGGGGGGGGGGGGGGGGGGGGGGGGGGGGGGGCACGGGTGTTAAGGCATTGTAATTATATCTGTATTCAGAGCACAAGGTTCCAGAAGACAAATGCAAGGCTTATGCCCCTATGAGCCCCTTTTTGGCCCTGCCAAGTATCACGTCGGCCGCCCTAAGTGAAGGCAGGCACGACGAGGGCCTGAGGACCTCCATTTCGGTCACCACGCAACTCAAGGAAATTCAGGCAGTTGCGCAGCGCCAGTTGGTTGAGAGAACCCAGGCCCTGGGCCGCCTGTGTGAATGTATGGAAAGCAGGCCCTGGGCTGGATACGGGTAGGCCAAGGCAGTTGGGTACATGCAACCACCTCAGCCCCAAGGCCTGTTCTCATTCGTGCTGGGCCTCAGGCTACCGGGGCCTACTGGAAGCTTCCTGGGACTGAACGCAGGCAGGCCACTTCGATATAGCAAAGGGCATGCCTCCACATTCGTCATTCGGGTGCTGGCTGCATGCTGCGCAAGCGCTGCTGCGGTATTTGCTGGCCAGCGCTCACGCGCTCACGGGCGAGCCGGAAGGAGCAGGCAGCCATAGCCGCGCTGCGCTGCTGTAAGCTGGGTGTGGCGCAGGGTGGTCCTTGGGTGCAAGTGGCATCTGTGTGTTCGGGAACGAGGTTGTGAGTGAGGCGAGAGACATACTTGGTGCTGGAAGCGTGCAGCATTGGCCGCTCTCTGCTCGTACTTCGGGAGAGCTGTTGTCGTCAACTTCGGCATTGTAGTATAGGCTAGATAGGATCTGCCATATGTAGTCTGGGCGCCGAGCGCCAGATAGGATATCAACTTTGGTTCTTCGTTGATGATGATGATGGGACTATTTCAGCATTGTCAATTATGAACTCTTGGTGTGTTCTTATTTGGTGAAACTCGTGATGCAATTCTGCTGTTGGTTCGACGTCACGACTATCTGGACTCATATGCATGATGCTGTTTGATTGCTGAGGTTCGCTATTGCTCATCTTCCTTGCACAAAGAAGTATTTGGGAACAAAGAGGATGTACACAGCAGGAACTCTCAAGATGAAGTGCTATGACTCCACCACCCGGTACTACCGTCTTCCCCCTTATAGAACGCATTGTAATTATAATAGTCTATATGTATTAATATTTAATATTTATGGAGTTGGAGCAATTTTCTCATCAGGTACAGGCACATAATGACCATGCATTGTGTTGTATTTGGGGGGAGACCGTAGGGTGTGGCAGCAAAGGTTCTGCAGAAGCCGGAGAGAACTGGGAAAACAGAGGTCTCAAGAAACTGTCCTTAGGCTGTGGTTCCCCTGCCAAGAATACAAATTCTTCCTCCTTAGACTTCCTTTCACAAAATGACTGAAAAGTTCTGAAAAGTTGTGAAAAGTTGAAAACTCAGAAAAAGATGAAAAGCAAAAGGGGAACTCACCTGGACCGGTGTCAATTGCTTGTCTATGTATGGAGGAACGCCAGTAACGAGTTCATTCAACAACACCCCAAAGCTGCAAAAACAAACGGAAAAAGACAAGTCTTAGAAGAAAGAGCAAGGACGAAAACCAACAATAGAAAGACAGAGCAAACAGAGCGTGTAGTATGATTCTAGTGTCCGCAAATGTAAGGATACCAGATCAAGAGGCAAATGTCATCCCCTCTTCCCCCAAATCCAAACTGAAGTTGCCTACCGTCTTCACCTCCCAATAGAACGCCAGGTAATTATCGCCGTATCTGGGATGAAAGTTGTGCCAAAAATTCAAATATTATGACCCGGCGTTCTATTTGGGAGAAGATGGTAGCCTATCCTCTGTAGCAATCTTGCGTTGATGGCCGTAGATGACAGCTTCGGACATCAACCGTAGCGGAGAGGGTTCCTAGAAGAAAGGCAAGCAGGCAGTCAATCCTCATAGACAAAGGAGTAATGAATGTTGTTCAGCGGTCCTTCAGCCAGACGGAAGGAAGCGTGAGTGTGTGAAAGTTTGATGTATTCCTACGACTTGCCGGGCGAAAAGGAACGGGACTGATGCCCCCCAGAATGGATATGAAGCCATCCAAGCCTGTTTTTGCCGACCCTGAATTTCACTGCTCTCCTAGTTTGTCGAGCCTGGGTCCCACTCCATTTCTTTATGGTACTCTCATGGGGAGAAAAAAAAAAAAAGGTCGCGGCCCTGAAACTAAAAAAAAAAAGAAAAGGAAACCATGCTCTGGCCGTGATTGCAGTTGTATACATTCTTGGAAGTGGTAGTGTGAATGTGCCCTCAGTGAGGGCATCTCAGCCCTGTGGCCAGGTTGTCAGATTCCAAAAACACACACACAAAAAAAAAAAAAACAGAAAGACGTATTCGGCCGTGAAAATGGCTGGATACGTTCCTCTAAGTGCCAGTGTGATGAGGGTTACAATCCTTTGAGGGAACACAGCCCCAGCAGATCGCGGATTCAGATTGTCAGATTCCAAAAACAGAAAAAAAAAAGAAAAAAAGAAACGGAAACACGGATTCGCCCGTGAAAATGGGTGGATACATCAGGATTACAATCCTCTGGGGAAACACAGCCAGCCCAGATCACGGACTCCACCCTGCCTCGTTGGCAGGGGACTCGTAACAAACAAACGAGAAGGGTTTTTTTTTTTTTTTTTTTTTTTTTTTTTTTTTTTTTTTAACCAGAAAGAAGCTCCAGTCTATTCATGGGGAGCAGCACCTGCTGGGAACCGGGCCCAGCGTCCCATATGAACATACATCAGTTTGTAATACCGGGGCCATTATCCGGCTTCGGCTGAGAAAAACCTGAGAATAGAATGCTTCAAGCACTTACGAAATCAGAAACCTTCGAAAATTCTAATGCTGATGTTACTAATGATGCCAGTGATGACAAAAGTATATAACTACTCATGCTGAGTCAGCCATGCTGGACTCCTAATCCTGAACAGCTCCAAGCCCTCCCTTACCAGGATATTGCAACTCTGGAACAAGACAAACCTATCCCCCCACTGCCATAGCTGATCTCTTCTCACTACCCAGACTAACCCCACCCCATAAGTTGTCAAGGTAGCCCCCCCTGGTTCACCATTGGCTTGCTTTCCTCCCTCAGCAAACCCCTGCCAATTACAGGTTACAGGGCTATGCCCCAGCTCCGGCCAGCGTCGTTCTGGCATCGGCAATCCAGGAGCACAGAACAAAGCAACTTCAGCAGTTATCAGTCTAGGTTCGACGATCCCTGAATTCCTATATCCCAAATAAAGAGGAAGACCAGGTGCTGCCAAGATTGTAAAGCAGCAGGTGGCTGGTTTTGAAGTATTGAACTGTATCGAAATTATCAGATCTTTTTTGACGCATCGAGTTTATTAGATCATGAAAAGAATACGCTTCCATTGGTCACAGCTCAAACCAATCCATACCCACTGTACCCTGTCTCATGCTGCCTCCACCGAGGAAAATCCCTCGGCCCCAACATAGAACAGATCCCCTCCCCTCCCTCCACCACATCCGCGAAGGCAACCAATCCCCTCCTAGAGGCTGCCTTTGCCCACCCCTTGTCCCTGTCTGCCCCCGCTGGGGTTGAAGGTGACCAACTCTCCARCCCCGTCCCCAGACTCAGACAATCCCCAATCTGCCCTACTCCCAATAGGGCTACTGCCTCCCACCATGCAACACCCCTGTAGAATAAGGTTCCCCTATAACAGACCCCAGGGTTAATTTTTCGGGGACAGCTAACTAGTAGTCTATACCCCCAACTGGCCAGCCCTATCTCTCCTTCCCCTAGCTTACCCAAGGCCAGGAGGAGCCCAGGCTGACAGTCCTACCGTCCTTCCCTTGGCTTGTTCCCTAACTTAGGCCAGACGGATCTCAGACCCGCTGTGGGTAACTACCGTATGTCTGTACCCTGGAGTCTCAAAAAACCCCTGCCTACCAAAGTTCCAGCCATAACCTCCGAAGTCCTATCCCCACTAAAGCGTCCGCAAAATTCAATGTTCAAATCTGCAAAATTCAATGTTCAAAATACCCAATTAGGAAAAAGAAACTCATGAAAAAACGAAATAAAGAAAATTCACCTTACCCCAATCAGGGGGAACATGCAGGGCAAAACCTAGTGGTGAAATTACTAAACAATCCCAACATGAAAACGTTATGTCTGAAATTACTACTACAAATAGTAGTAATCAAGAAGTAAGTAATCAAGAAGTAGGTAATCGGGAGATAGGTAATCAAGATATAGGTAATCTAGATGTAGGTAATCAAGATATAGCTAATCAGGATGTAAATATTAATGACTATTGGATAATTGGGTAGCCGAAAACGGTACCCTGAGACTAAAACGTTTTCCGATGATATTACTATTGATGATGGTAGTGATGATGATGGAAGTGTTATTGATGACTATTTGAGTGAAGCAGCAGCCGATGATGATGGAAGTGTTATGGATGACTATTTGAGTGAAGCAGTAGCCTAAAGATAGTAGTGGCGTCGCCTACAGATGAATTACGGCTAATGAAAAAAATTGTAATGAGGGTGAGCATGCTAATGAAGCTGCCCAAAAGAAATATTAATTGCTGACCTAAATGATCGTAATACAACAAATGATAGCTATGAGGATGATAGTGCTGATGATCGTGATACTACAGATGGTGAAAATCACTATAGTAATGACTAAACACCCATAGAGCTGCAATGATGATGAGGATGTCAACTAATTATCCATTGTATTGATGACGATCGCCTTACCGCAAGTGATGATGACTAGTAATCTTGATGACGACTTGCTGATAGTGTTGACGAACTCGAGGTTGATGACGGACCACGCTCCATGCTGTGATAACTCCGATCTGCAAGCTTGGTGTACTTCAGACTATGAATTACACACTTCCATGTCACCTTGGGCTATCTTCACTGCGATCTCCCTCAAGCGTCTTGTTGCCACTTCACCTTACTACGTGGCGGCGCGGGAATCTTGCGTGGACCCCGTGAAACGGGGCGGTCCCCTGGACACATCAACCGGTGACGTGGCGAAGACCAGGACCTAGGCTCACGGCGCGTGTGCTAGGCGCAGTCCCCTGCCCCCGTCGTCCTCATCGCCCGACACACTCGAATTTCATGGAGCGCCCTAGATCTTCGATATATCATAATCAGCTCGACCATTTGATCTGAAATTTGGACCACCTCAGCTCCTCGACATAGACCACCGGTGGTCCAATTTTCAGCTCAGGGCGCGCACCCAATCGCGTGCAATCGTCGAGCGCGCGCGCGCTATTTTCCTTGCTGCATGCAGTTTTCCAGCGCGCGCGGCTCCTCTTCGTGGCGGTTACCTTGATTGATGATTGATGCTTCCGGTGCGCAGCGCTCCCGGTATCGCTGCGCCCCGTCGACGTCGACATCTGGGCAAGATTCATTCCTCAAACGAACGAGAAGTAAAAAAAAGCAAACAACAAGTTTCAGAATGTGATCGTCTTTGCTGTAGGATGTATTGCAGAGGAAGACTGAGCACGACCTCCTAGACTACCCTGCCCGACATCATTGCAGTACAGAAGCTTTTTTTTTTTTTTCCCTTTTCCTTTCCCACGCAGGCAAAAGAAAACTAAGATTTATGGGACTCGCTGACCCTGGGTCTCACCACCTATTTCTTCAGGGACAGACCATTACACTGTAATTTCCCAACTCTGGCAGAGGTAAAGAAAAGACTCAAAAGAGTGTGGGATTTCTCTGTGCTGCTTCAGGGCATACTCACACTACGACTTTTTTTCCTGACATCTGGATGCGATTGCGGTCATGTGCATCCAGGTCTGACTTTCTTGTACTTGCAGTCAGATATATTTAGAAAAGTGCAATGACTTGCTGATTCTGACTGCCGAGATTGACTGCGAGGCTATACACTAACCGGTAGGGTTAGATTCGTAATTTTGTTTAGCTGAGGGCTAACCGAGAGACCTAACTGTGAGGAAATTCGTGACGGACAGATCTGCAAATTCGGGAAAATATAGCCCTAACACTAACTGAATTTCCTGCTACTACCCTAACTGCGAATAGAAGACCCGGGCTACCCCTAGGACAGACAGGCCCTAAGTGGCCTATACTGATAGACGGTCCTATAGCCTATAGCCGGGTCCGGTAGAGGCCGGAAGGCCGAAACAGCAACGGTACCGGTCGGTCAGTCAGTCCGGTCTAGGTCTAGTGTAGTCTATAGATAGGTTAGGCCCATCGGTTCAGGACTTTTGGCAGTTCATTTCTCGCGAAGCAGCGTTGGAGAAGCCAAGCAAGTTGGTGGCGGTGACGGTCTGCAGGCGGCATCCTGAGACCTCGCTGTTGACAGCAGCCATAGCCGGCCCAGTTTGAGTCTGCCATAGCTGGGGCATCCTCAGCGCATCTACCCCTGGGGTATCTGCGCCTGGCCGGGCTACATCGAGGCTCTACACTGTGTACTCGTGGGTGGTGGCAGCCATAGCTGCCTGTTCCTTTGTCGGAGTTGTCCAGCGGCACTGAAGACTTCATCGCAGGACCTGTTCGCCATCGGGGTGGTT